TGTCATTTGAAGTGATGGCAACCAGCGGTGTCCGTCAAGGATGCCGATTGTCCCCATTTCAATTCAATTTCATCATAGGTGTACTGATGAACTTAACCCTAACCCAGTTCAGCGAATCAGGGATTGAATTGTTACGGGGAGAATAACCTCGTTCACTTGGGATATGCAGATGATATAGTTCTCCTTCCTAGGTGAAGACGCTGACAAAATGTAGTCTTCTGAGCACTTTGAGCAGCAGTCTTTGAATGTTTGGCATGTGATTCACTCCTGCCAAATGTACGGTGATGCTGCATCGACTCCCAGCTTAGAAATAAGTTAAGTGGTTGGTGAAGTGTGTCAAACATTTCACTTATTTGGGAAGTTGCATCAGCATGTGCCAGCGAGTTGGTGGCTGACGAAATCTCAGCACGGAAACAGAAGGCTCGTTCGGCAAATGCCAATTTACGCCATGTCTGGCGTGGACGTGATATCCGTCTGGCTCTCGACCAGAGGGCGTGTGTACTGCTCAGCGACCAGCTCCATCTTTCTTTATTGCTACAAGACCAGGTCATTGGAAGTAGAAGATATGAAAAGGCCAACTGTGTTTTATCATAGGTGCCTGAATCCTATCTCCTGTGTTATGTGGTATAATAGGATGAGTAATATTGAAATTAGGATCGGTTGAGTGCTAGGTAAGGAGGAGAAATCAATCGACGAGGTTGTCAATTTACATCGATTGAGATGATTAGGACATGTGTTAAGCATTCCTAGCCTAGTCCAGCCTAGCCACCGCTTTCCTCGACGGGCGATGTTAGCTGACGTCGGATCAGGTTGGAAAACAGTTGGCTAGTGATGGTCAAACCAAAACATAGCTTCATCAGCCAATGAAATCCACAACTGTTAGTTTAAGTGAGACGCGTAGGGAGGTGTAGACTGCCAGTTTGGTTGGGGTCCTTGGGATGGTAAAAACCAATGCCTAGAGAAAATTGGCGATATGGCTTAAAATCGTTCTCAATGGCTGGTGCAGTTGCATTCACTCTTTGTGATTTATCATAGCCAATAAAACTCTTTTGTCCTTCCATATTACTAATCTGTCTACCTCACACTTGTGTTTATCTTTCTCTTTTGAATCTCTCTTCACTCTCTTCTTTTTCTTTGTGCTACATGGAGTGTAGCGACTCACACTGCTGTGTCTGTATGCACAGTTCTACCTTGAAACTTGTCAGTCATTCCAGGGCTTATACAAATCCAGAAACAACGAATCAGTGGAAAATCCTACTTGAGTGTAAACTCTTGCGAAGTGTTCGAACAGTCGTCAAGCAGAAATCTTGATTTCTATGTGAATGATGAGGATGCTAACTAGGGAAGCAAGTTGAACAAGAATTCGGCAAACATGACCGACTCACTGCAAACAGAAACAATATGTCTTTTCTTCTGAAGGAGTGTACGCCAAAAGGCATTCTGATTGTCATTTTTTTCTTCTAATGTAAAATATGATAATCAGTGACCAGACTGATTTAAAGAGCTTTTTTCTTGACAAGAATTAGCCAGATCCAGTTGCGTAAAGTTGCTAAACCAACTCGAACTTATTTCTCCCACTAAGTGATAATTATGTAATGATCTGCTTTATTTTACGTAGAAACCTTCAATTTCCCAATATAGTATCATCCACAGAAATATTACAAACATCTTCAACTTAAGCATGAATCACAGTGTCGGTAATACCTTGAATAGGAGGCATCTGAGATTGGCATATAAATCCAAATTCACGTCAAATTGAAAATAGCCACGTCATTTTACACCACATTTTTCTCTTCTCTAAAGTACCTCACCAATAAAATCAATGACAACGACTGTTTGATCGGTTAAGTATTTCGTCTGCATACAGTAGGGGGAAGAATATCATAATAAGTGTAACCAAACTTATGAGTTTTTTATTGACGCCATCTCGTCCTGAGATTAAACGTATATTGTTTACCATGGACAATGCAGAGTCACAAATTTGTCCTTTTACACTTCTGTGAGCATTACAATGCGTACCCACAATAAGTGTTAGGCCTAGAATTTCTTCATATTAAACTCACTGATTTGAAATTCCATATGGGTTTTTATTTGATGTAACACACAGTCGTACAGTATTGATAACTGGATGATGTTTCGAGAACAATGTATTTCTCATAATCATATCAATTTATTCATACCGCTTCATAATGTGCTTTGTACATATTTCTCTCGCCCTTGTGTTTTATTGCAATTCTACACATATCCGGTAACAGGCGTTGTGTCACTTCAACTGCAGGTGTTTGGTGTTGTTTTGGTGAAAAACCTCTCTCTCTCCACCGAACTATATTGCTTCTTACTACTTTTTACCGTATTCCAACCCCATCGTGTGCTGGTACATTGGGAGTTCTTTTTTTATTCCTTTTCGTTCCCAGTGGAACATAGGGCTTCAGGCTAAAAGTTTCGGTAGCCATGGTATTTAGTGTTTACGAGATGGGGTTGCTAGCCGCATGCCCAAACTTCCCTCTTTACCGGTCTTATTACTGGCCTAGCAAGGTTAGGGAGTGAGTCGGCCGGGGATCGAATCCCAGACCACAAGCGTGGTTGGCGAGCATTCTACCGCCGTGCCACCGATGCACTTATCGGGGGTTCGCAGCAGCATAATACGGATTATAACATTTCTTGAAACATAATAATTCACTTGTCACAGCATTAAGAAAATAAACTGGTGCAATAATGATGGTTTTAGCTTATTGAAAAGTATTACGAATGAGCACCCATAGAGGATATGGTTATTATTGTTTCCAGTCACTAAGGGAAAGGAACCCAACTTCCAACGAATTGTAAAAACTAAATATTATCCACAATCCTCTGACTGATAATAGCATTGCGACTGTGGTCGATTAAGGTTGATATTTAATCTCACTGCAGCTAGTCAGTTGAATTTGCTTATAAAATCGTCGACTAACTACAAATCAGAGACTTCCAAGTTTATAGACTTTCAAGGTATTACGACTACATTCACTTGGAATAACTGAACTTAAACATATGCTGCCAGAGCCTAATTGGGGGAGCGAATCATGAGACTGATCCATGATCTTAGTCTCAAAATGTAATGTTTAAAATACTTGTCCTCATACGTACTTAGCATGCGATTCCGTGAAAATTCAGCCAAAGGTGCAAGCATATATATATGTACATACATGCTTTATAATTTCCATTTCCAGGAATCTTTCAAAACATAATTTCCCAGAAAATACACGCGATTCCGACTTAGGTCACGAGCATTGCACAATCATGCAGAAACAATGATACATAACAGTAACTACTAGACGGGGTTGTCACTCAGTGAAGGCGAGTATATCAATATCACCAAATAAAGCTATCCTAAGATCTAGGATATCGAATTACAGTGGAATGAATTGTTCATGAGCAACAATGATATAAGTGGCGTACCTTTAGTCTGTTATTGTAGTACGTTTTCCTACTGACTAATAAATTTGCTGTTTTTCCCTTGGACCCAGTTATATCGTCAACATGATCTGTGACAATTACAAGTACACAGTTCAGGTCACAACACTATAACGCAGTTTTCATATTAGGAAAAGTGGTGTATGCTCTTGGTCATGGTCGACCAAACAAGCAAAGTTTTGACGTTTATTAAAATTTATAAAAATTCGTCGCAACAATACATTGGTTATCCAATTCTTCTTTTGTGTTGATGTTCCTAAGTTCTAGATAATACTGAATATAAGCAGTTTTGCTTTGTTTCTAATTCGATAGGTACTTTTGAGACCAGGTGCAATTTTGGATTAAGGCACTAAATTAGTAAATATTCATCAATAGAAATGCCCGAAAAAAGTTATGGAGGTTGGTTAAAGTAGGACTGCTAAGTTGGAAAAGTTAAAGATGGTCAAATCAAGATATAGCACTACTCAATGAAGTCCATACGTCAGTCTGAGCCTACTTGAGTTCTTCAAGATGATAGAAACCAGTGACTGAATTTCTTCCATAAAAAACCTCGAAATTATTCACCATTGCACAGATGTATTTACTTATCTTTGGAATTTTTAACATTTTCGATTATCTTTATTTACTAACTGAGATACCACTTTGATATTACTCTGTCCTTTCATGTGCGCTGAGAAAAGTGTGATAACGTAAACCAATTTACTTACTTTTAGGCAAAGTTTTAAGCTAACATGTCGCTCAGTCAGCAGTTCACAGTTTAAAGCTGAAAACAGTACGAATCAGATAAAACTCTGATTTATCCGTTATGTATGCATAGTGTGGTATTCATCTTATACAATAGTTGTTTTCGGGTTTAGTGAGCTAGAGTTAGCCTAGAAACTTATATCTCCATAAGCTCCCTTCAAAGAAATAGCAGCAAACGAGAACTAAATAGCAATTAGCTGTCGGGCACAATAAAAACCATATTAACAGATATGAAGTAATATGTGCATAAGTGCCAAATAAACAGTCATTCCCAAGCTTTGTACTTTCTCATTCCATCTTTAGTACAAGTTGAAGAAAATCAGGTTGTTTTCGTGATAACTAGTAACTCCAAGAGGTTAATACACAATTAATTTTAACTCATTGACGTGGACACAAGTCCAAAAGTTTAGGATGCCTGATTTTATTTCTCATCAGTACATATGACATTTCCCCAACAAAGTGATTAATGGCTTCCTTGGCGATGATACATAGTAGAGGATAATAGAACTCTGCGCCATAGCTGTTCGATAAAAAGTGGGATATAATCTCTCTCTACTCATTCAGGTGACACAAATAAACTTGAGAGAAAGAGATTTATACATGTATCACAATCTAGCAAAGTCATAAACACTTTCACGAAGATTCTGAAATACTGAATAATGTACAAGAATTGTTCTTTGCATGAAACCGATAGCATGAAATCATGTGAACTACTAACACCTCCTTCAAAAAGATTCCTTATAGTTAAGACTGGAAAGATAAGTCATAACATCAATAAAAGATTAACATCTATGAAGTAAACTTACTTGACACTCTTGACACTGACATTCTCCTGTAACATTAGGACGAGAATCAAATGATTTAATACAAAATGACTTTTCTAATAGATCATCAAATATTTCAAAATGTGAGCGTAATTTTTCATCCATTATCATTTTTAGTGAGATCAAGCTGTTTTCACACGTATGAACTGGCGTGAGAAATTGCTCAAAAATACTGTCCGAAGGTAAGTAAGTTAGCCGAGACAGACCTCCTTTACAAGTCCCAAATTTGTATTCAGATAAATACTTTTCCGAATGGAAATCCGTATGTGGTAGAAGATATAATAAAGGCAAATGAAGGCATAGATCGTGCTTAACATGCTGACGAAGATAAGCGGCACGAGCACATGGGTCGGGTAGCCTTTGGCAAATAAACTCAATCAGCTCTGAACTTAATAACTTTGTTTCTCCTCGATCGTCACCTTTTGAATACCGTTTTGCTTTATTTCGGTACATTTGTGATTCAGCTGTGTGAAGATTTGTTTTGTCATGTAGTTTATTTGTATGTTGTTCAAATCTTGTTGGCATAAATGTTGTTGAATAAGCAGAACTTAGGAATGAGTATCGGTTATTTGTGCGTTTGGTGACAGATAGCGTTTTGTCCGATGAATATGTGGATCTGGCAGTTGTAGAAAGCATTTTACCAAACAACAGAAATAATATTATCAGAATCCCCGAACGTCCAGCTGCTGTAAATTTAGCTGATGAGCAAATACTAGAAATTAAGGCACAATTGTGTATAGGTTTTTGTCGTTTGTATTTGTTTGGAAACAAATTGTTACTAGAGTGAGAGAAGTAAGAGTTTTCTTGGCTGTGTAAATATAGACACGGAGAAATAAAAGGAGTACCATGATCTCCTGTAATGCACATGGCTTAGCCTGGAGACCAGATCAACACGACCATGCGCATTGTGCCGTCTCAGAATGCGAAAGCCTGGGCTTTATCCTTCTGCGTTGTCAAGAATTAGTATGAGAATTGCATTGGATCATACCTGTGACAAAAAAATTTTGAGTTGAGTGCAACCATTAAAACATCTAGTTTCTTAAAATAAAATGCAAATCCATCTTACTTAAGACATACAATGTGAATCATGAAGTGAGTACACAAGTATTGTCTCTTTGTACGAAGTCAAGCTAGAGATGCTTAGACATCTAAAAGTTGCTAGTCAAATGACCTGAAACAATTATTTGTCAGTATCTTAAAATTAATAAAATGGACCCAGAGCAATTCCAGAAAAATACTAGACAGGTGTCTCACGAATATCTATGAAAAAGACGAACGAAAATGTGATTTTTAAGGCGAGTAAAGAAAAGATACGACAGCCAGATGAACGTGAACCAATCGGTCATATTCGTTTCGGTGAAATGTGGTATTTTAGCATAGAAAGTATGCCTACATGATATGCATACATTACTAAAGATGAATTATGTGCCTCAAATATGCTCAAAAATACGACCCACTTCTTAACAAGAGTGGTTTCGGACATATACCGCTCTAACCTTTCTTCGATATAACCAGAATCTTTCAAAGGAATCTGTGTGATTACCAGTTTAAGAACCCACTAATCCTGATGAATGGTTGACTTTATGGATGAATACATCCTGATGATGACAGTCACAACGCCCAACATTTCAAATGGCTGCTGATCATAGTCTTCATTGAAAGTTCCACATTTATCTTACTCTAACCCTACTATGAAACTTCTTTAACCCTAACCTTACTCTGATTCTAATCAAAACCTAATCACATCATCACCGAAACCCTACTCGAACACTAAACCTAAACTAATATGAACCGTAATCCTAACGCTCAATCAGAGTAAAACTTACAATAAAGACTATGAAAGGCATCCTTGTGTAATGTCGGGCGATCTGACTGGTTGGTTCAAGGTCACTCGACTGCACTATCTATCCTTTACTGTTGCCATTTTTATCTACGGTAAATACAGTGCTATATAAGGTTAACGAGGAACGACTACTGAAAGGTAGAAAAAAGGATTGTAGTTTTTATTTTGTCTACTTAGCAGTAGCCTTACAAGGTGCAAACAGCTAAGGTGTAGAGATAAACTGGAAGATTCCAGAACTTTACTTAGCAAGGTGAATGGTACTCATTAGCGCAGTTAAATGAAGCAGTACTGCAGTGGATTGGAATTGCCGACTGTTAGATGAAACAGGAAGAGCTACCCAAGAGCTGTTTAACGTTCACATGGTATTATATATATAAATGTTATGCGGCATTGTGGTACTACAAAACAATACTCAATAGTACTGAGTTGTGGTTCAAAGTAAATCAAAGCCAAGAGAATGCCTCTACTTTCTAAAATAGTTAGAGTCTCGGGCAGATTGAATGATCTTTTATATCGTAATGCCAAACAGTTTTGAATATTATACACTCGCTACTTCAGGGCTACTCTAAAGTGTAACCATAAATACTAATGAACCCTTGCGTGTAAACCAATGACAAATGATGAGGAATATCATCGTAGTTAGTAACCAAAGTGAATCGAGGAATTCCAAACAAACACGAGGAAAAGATGATTCCCGGAACTAACAAAATACGAAATTTACCAAGCAACAAAGATATCCGGTATCAAGAAGTTCATACAACAATTCTTCCTGTTCAACCGCTATCGGCCATTAAAGAAATGAGAACTTATAAAAACACAACAAATTTCTAAGTCTCATTATTTTGTTAAGAATCTAACAAATTCACTGAACACATAAATTAACTCCCATAGTAGAAACGGTTGGAAGGATTAATTTGAATGCTGTTTTGTTGTTCTTCTCTGAGAATTGATGCTGTGTGCCTTTCCCACTACATTCAATGTCTGTAATTCTCATTAAAAACGGATGCCTACAGATACTAGTTGACTACAGTTCTGTCTTTACAAAAAAGAATTAGTTTGTTCATATATGGAATAGATTTTTTTTTATAAAAACACGAAAATGCGTTCAAAATTAAGTAACGACAGCTGAGGCGATCGGAAAGTTAGATGAAAAAAATCGAAGGAAATAGTTAACTTTCAAATACACTAAGTAAGGTAGATATAGATAAAAATCAGTACTTACAAAAACACGAAGACCTATGCTGGCGGTAAATAAAAGACCCCAACTTTAGATTAGTAAAACTACTTTGTCCAATATTCTACGTTAAGATTAATTATTAACTTAATTCAAAACTTTTGTATTTCTGACCAGAATTTGGTTATTTTTATGGTTCTTGAAGGCACACACAAAGCTTCTAGTTGCATGATTCGTTAGACGTGAATAGAAGAACCTCTTTTGAGAAGCCAACGGCATATCTTCAAGGTAAATGATCGCTATGGAACCCACATTGGCCCGTACCTATTCAGTTTCGAGATTCCAGGCTGCTACCTAATCTGAGTTTTAACAGTGCCTTTCAGACATTGGAAAATGCATTTCGAGTAATAGGTATTTTTACTGTTAAAACATCTTCCATGACACCAAAATTAAAGCAAGACTGAAATAAACCAACCGAGATGAGTCAACTTAATATTGTCTGAATGAATGTCCAGCCCACTTGTGAATGCTGCAGGTACTTTCAGTTCTATTTTAACAACTAGGCATTCGCCCAGAATCTGGCGACAACTGGCGCTCATTCCTTGTACTGCTAACTAGCAAAATAACTAGCCGTTGTGCCCAGATAAGTTCTTAATTTTTTCTCTAAATAAAGTTAACATTAGATTCTACTTAAATATACTATTCAGGGCTCATTCTTAAATTACTGGATCTTCTGGATTTGTGACTTGTTATCAGGACTTACAAATCAGGTAGTTTATTGAATCACTAGGAATATTACGTTTAGCTAGGCTGGTATAGTGTAAAATACCAGTGTCACCATGAGCACCTTACAGACATTCCTGATTATTTTGAGTGAAAAAATCGATGAGTCGCGTACTGGGAGTTATATAGAGTGCTTAAGATTCTACAAGCGTTGTGTTCATAAGACACAGAAGAGTACAACATATTGGCTAATACAGTGTAAATAATGTATGACGAAAAACTTTTGACATGGATTTAATTCGTTGTCTGAAGCAGGCCGCTTGTTTCAACGCCACAGTATCCGCGCGTCACCAGTGGTTTCATACTTTCCGGAGAATTTTAACAACGAGATAAAAGCAGGGCAAAGCTTTTGATTCCGAGTCGTATTGCTCAGCTTGTAAGCAATACTCTTCGTTTACAGCATAGGCGATTTATAGCCTATATATAACCAAACCAGTTCACGTTTAAGAGTTTGAAAAAATTCGGGCGCTGGGTATATGATATTCACTATAATAAAGGTTTTTTCGTATTTCCCAATGAACAATATCGTTTTATTTTGATTCACTGTGGAGAAGACCTTTATTTTAACGGATTTGTCGCCTCTTTTGTATTCATGGAAATAGTGGTTTTTTTATCCCATCAACAAATGTGCACTCAACGTGGGAATAAAAGTACCATGATCTTGGTGAAACGACGAACATATTCAATATCCAATAGCGTTTTTACGAGCTAGTATAAACCAATTTGATTTCTTTGTCCTCGCCTCTTGATTGTGAGGTATAGGTTCCTGATCTTCGGGAAAACTTCTGCGTAGCTCGTCCCGCCACTCGACTGTCGTAGCTTTCGTTGACTCCAAAAGGGGTAGTGCTGGGATTAATATTATGTGTTTTGTAGTACGAGGTGTCTTAAGACTGGTACTACTGTGATTGGAGTTTATCCTTTCTCCAGTTAATCCTCCGGCATCGTCGTCAAAAGAAAAGTGATAATAATAATAAATATAATTAGTGGAGGTATTCAGACTAACATAAAGAAAAAGAAATAAGAAAACGTAGCAACAGTCAGTCGATTAAATTTGAAGAATAATATGAATAATATTTATATCTGTAATAATAATAAGTGTAGTTAAAGTCGTTGGGAGAGTAAGATGGGAGAGAATGTAAAGAACTAAGAGGACAAGTTTAATTGTCTACCCGTCAATGGCGTACGGGATTTCAAGGCGATAGGCCATTCGGACGCAGTCCTTGTGTCTCTGCATGATTGTCCAGCCTTCTCTTAAGGGCATTCGAATGCGGTTTCATAGCTACATCCGCCGGCAAGGAATTCCAGGGATGGCAAACCTGCATTGAAAAGAAGTGGGAGCGCACCCGGGTCTTTGTGCTCTGATGAGCTATCCTTCTGGAATTTTTACGAGGGAGCCTATACCTACTCAATGGCAGAACACCTTTGTTTAGGTGATTCTGGTCATTTATAATTTTGTAGACAGTTCTTAAATCCCCCTTAAGACGATGGTAGCTAAGTGTGAGTAGGCCTAATTTATTCAGCCTTTCATCATATGGTTTGTTTCGGAGACCAACCACTCCTTTTTTTGCCCCTTGTTGGACTCTTTCCAAGAGTTTGGCGTCTCTTCAAAGCAGTGGGGTGTAACAAAATTATGCACTTCAAGGTGTGGTTTGACGTATGTTTTGTACAACCCGAGAAAGAGCTCAGGAGTGAGTGCACCTAACTGTCTATGCGTAAAGTGTATGACCGCATATGCCTTCGCTATGTCCCCGTGTAACCTAGGCTTGTGTCCATTTTTTCCGTTAGAACTAGACCTAAGTCGAGTTCCGAACAGAACAATCTTTCATTGCACAGGGTGTAACTTGCATTCTGCAATCTACACGCGTGTGACTTCACTACTTTGCACTTTTTCAGGTTGAAAGTCATGCCACTGGCCACCTCCCAGTCTTTCAGAAGGTTTAGATCTTCCTGTAGCCTATCTGAGTCCTCCGGAAACCTTATCGCCCTCCATATCTTTACTTCATCAGCGTGCAAAAGAGTCAGGCAGCTTAGACGGCATGGTAGATCATTGATAAAAATCAAAAACAT